GACTAAAATCACCACACCATGCTGGCTCTTGGCTTTGCAAATGTACTATAGCCTATATAGCTGCCTCTCAGTAATGTTCTGTAAGAGGAAGTTAATGTTGCAATAAGATATAAGATGTTTGATTGCAATGCAAGTTTATAACAAGAATGTGCCTAGATTGTGACATCTATGTTCCTCCCCAAGGCAGAAGGGGGAGCATACACATACTGATTTAATGATATAAAACAAATATATGTATTTTATGAAGTCACGTGCATTTGGGGACAAACAGTCTGAAATGCCAAGGTTTGAACCTAAGGGGAATGTTGGTTTTACACCTGGCACCTGCTGGGACTATCCACAGATTTGGGAGCCCAGGTGGCCAAAGCGGTGGACTCTAGGGAGTGGCTAACAGATGCAAGCCCATTGACAAACAGCAACAGCCCTACAAATCCCCCAAGAAAGAGGGAATGGGGTGGAACGGCTGCCTCTGTTTCTGTACAGAGACCTATTATTGTGCAATTTTGCAATCTGTGCCAACTGCTTTGTGGGAATTTGGCCTCTCAGTTTGAGGGGGGAAACGCTTCCTATGTAAACAACCGTGGGCAGTTCCAAGGTTAGAGAACAGTCATTGAAATGTTGATGACTGAACTAATTTCACCTCTATTGATTTGCTTTGGAAACTTCTAGAATAAACTCTTCTTATCTTTCTGATCACTTTTGCCTTGACTTCCAAGAGAGGTTTTGCACACGGCAGTCGTTCCACAGCTGGAAAGGGAGAAAGGCTGAGCTGCAATGGATCTCTTGGGGAGCACCACCATCTTCTTGGTCATCTCCCTGGTCCTCCTGGTGGCCTGGAGGAAGCTGGAGGCCAAGAGGAAAAACTTGCCCCCGGGTCCAACGCCTCTTCCATTCATTGGGAACCTCCTGCAGCTGAAGACCAGAAACATAGCAGAACAAATGAAAAAGGTAAGAGGGAGATTCCAGGATGTGGTTTCTCAGCCTCACCATCCGAGCTTCAAAATGCAGTCTTATGTGGAATCATAGAATCCTAGAGTTGGAAGAGACCTCAAGGGTCATCCAGTCCAACCCCATTCTGCCATGCAGGAACTCCCAATCAAACCAACCCCTATGACAGATGGCCATCCAGCCTCTGCTTAAAGACCTCCAAAGAAGAAG